TATAGTGAACGAAACTCCACTCAACTCCGCTACACCCATAGTGCGGAGGATATGGTGACACTCCTCCAGAAAACCCTGAGCATCATCTGTCGCCAATTCACTGAAGGTAGGAGGGTAGTACTTCGTGTACCTCTCTAGTCTGATCTACTCCACCTCAGAAGCTGTTGCACTAGCCTCAAGATGGACTGGAGCTACCAACTGCATCGGTATAATCTCTGGAACCTAGTCAACCGTAACCCGTGGCTCTGGGGTACGGGCGGCGGGAGTCTGTGCTCCTCCCCCGGCCTGAGATATGGCAGGAGCAAGTGCAATCAATCCAGCCTGAGCGAAGGTGTTGAACATTCTCAGAAACCAGGCTAGAGTCTCCTAGAGGGCTAATGCAGCAACAGGTACCTCAGGTGTCTGTCCTCCAGCTGGAGCTACTGGTGGCTCCTCTACAGCAGCTCCCGCGGGTGCTTTGGCTGCACCGAGTGGACGTCCTCGGCCTCTACCCCGGCCACGGTCTCTAGTAGCTCTAGCAGGGTGCGCGGGTGCCTGGTCATCAGATTTGCATGTACGTTTCCTCACCATCTATGAAAGAATAGAATACAGAATTTTAGAATTTTAAAGTCAACAAATCTTCGCACGACAAGGAATCAAAGAAGTGTAACTTTTCTAACAGTTCCATAGCCTCCCGAAGATAAGTACAGACATCTCCGTACCGATCCGCTAGACTCTTATAAACCGACTTGTGACTCATGACACCTATGAACCTAGAGCTATGATACCAACTTGTCACGACCCAATTTTTCCTCCGTAAGATATCGTGACGGCACCTAGCCTCTACGACTAGGTAAGCCTAAACAATTATGGAAATAACAGAAATAGAAGTAAAAACTCACAACTAACTGCAATAAATAATAACATAACTGATAATCATATCGCTCGGCATGCACAATAACCTATTTCTCAATAATACACAGTCTTCTCAAAATGCGGAACATCATGAGTCACAAAGACAGAGGAAATCTAATATCTCTATACACCAGAGTCTAACAAAAAAGTATAGAAGATAATGGACATAGGGGAGAATAGAGGGGGACTTCGAGGTCCGCACACGCGGCAGATGTACCTTAAAGTCTCCAACTGTTGCTGCTCACTGATGACGTGCCTGGTAAGAAGTCCCTGGATCTGCAAACGAAAACATGCGCAGAAAAGTAGCATGAGTACACCACAATGGTACCCAGTAAGTGTCAAGCCTAACCTCGGTCGAGTAGTGACGAGGTCAGGTCAGGCCCACTGGTATATAATAATTAAAGTAGGAGAATGTACAGTATAATAAAAGACTGGAATTTAACAAAGGGAAACACAGCAGAAATGGCAGTACAATACACAGGGATAAACAGCAGAGGATCTCCCGAGATACCGTCTCGTAGTCCCAAAATAAATATGCAAAGAGATCTCCCGAGGTACCGCCTCGTAGTCTTAAAAGTAAATATACAGGGAGAACTTCCGAGGTACCACCTTGTAGTCTCAACAGTAAATGTGCATGGAGAACTCCCGAGGTACCGCCTTGTAGTCTCAAAAGTAAATGTGCATGGAGAACTCCCGAGGTACCGCCTCGTAGTCTCAAAAGTAAAAGTGCAGGGAGAACTCCCCCTCGTAGTCTCAAAAGTAAACACACAGCTCAAACCGATAAATAGAACAGTTAACAGCAAGAATTTTACAGTTAAGACTGATAAAGATCAAGGAAAACAGGAGATTCAACTAGGCATGATGCACAGAGTTCAAATAAGAAGTTAAAGAACATAGACATGTTATTCTAGGCTAAACATGGCAACTACACATGCTAATATAACTCAATTAAGGGGAAAAAACAGGTTATTATTTAGTAAAATTCGGGTTTAACAAAAAGTAGCCCATGTACGCACTTGTCACCTCACGTACACGGCGCACACATATCACAACAGTACCAAATCCTAAGGGGAGTTCCCCCCACACAAGGTTAGGCAAGCCACTTACCTCGAACCAAGCTCAATCAATCGGTAACAATGTCTTTTCCACGAATATCCGACTCCGAATGGCCCAAATCTAGCAAAAATCAATTACATACTATAACTATAACTATAAGAAACTAATCTAATTAATGAAATCAAAGCTAAAGCAAGAAATTAGAAAATTGCCCAAAAAAGCCTCCTTGGGCCCAAGTCTCGGAATCGGGTAAAAGTTACAAAATATGAACACCCATTCACTCACGAGTTCACTCGTACAAAAATTATCCAAATCCGATACTAAAATCTCGATCAAAACCCAAAATCTTAGTTGAAGAACTTCTTCCCATTTTTCCCAAACTTTCAACCTAAATCCGAAATTAAAATATGGAATTAATAATAGATTAGTTGGATATAACTAAAATCAAGTGTAGAATCATTACATAATCGATATCTCTGAAAATCCCTCAAAATCTCATCCAAATCCGAGCTCCCAAACTCAAGTTTTGATAAAAATGGCCAAAACCTTGTTTTGCAGATGTTATATTCTGCCCAGACCTTCCTTTTTCGCGAACACGGAAGGATCATCGCGTTCGCGAAGCACAAATTTGCTTCAGCGCTAAAACACTCATCGCGAACGCGATAAACTAGTCGCAAAAGCGAAGCTTACTTTTCCTGACACTACGCGAACGCGGGAGCCTCTTCGCGAACACGTAGGCTAAATGCCTGGGGCTCCATCTGATCGTTCCTCTACGCGAATACGAGGTCCATATCGTGAACGCATAGTCTTAATGTTCCATATCTTCGCGAACGCGGAAACTACTTCGCGAGCGCGAAGAACAAACCCAGTTGGCCTCCCAAATGCCTTACGCGAACGCGAGACCTCTCTCACGAACGCGATGAAGGAAACCAGCAACAGCAACACCAGAAAATTTGCTATCTTTCACAGGTCCAAAATGATCCGTTAACCACCCGAAATCAACCCGAGGCCCCCCGGAACCTCAACCAAACATACCTACCAATCCTAAAACACCATATGAACTTAGTCAAGACACGAATCACCCTCCAATTCAAACTTAATGAACTTGAAACTTCAAATTTCTACAATCGATGTCGAAACCTATCAAACCACGTCCGATTGACCTGAAATTTTGCACACAAGTCATATTCGACATTACAGACCTACTCCAACTTCTGGAATCAGAGTCTGACCCCGATATCAAAAGTCCACTACCGGTCAAAATCTCAAAAAATTCGACTTTCGCCATTTCAAGCCTACATCAGCTACAAACCTCCAAAACACAATTCGGACACCCCCCTAAGTCCAAAATTACCCAACAGAGCTAATGGAACCGACGAAACTCCCTTCCGGAGTCGTCTTCACATAGTTCCGACTACGGTCAAAATCCAAAGACTTAAGCTTCCGTTTAGAGACTAAGTGACCCAAAACACTCCGAAACCAAAAACAAAACCTCCCGGCAAGTCATATAAGTAGAAACAGATACGGGAAAAGCAGTAAATAGGGGATCGGGGCTATAACTCTCAAATCGATCGAGCGGTATATATATATA